AATTAAGATCCTGGTTCAAAGTTAGGACCCAGGGACTGGAGAGGCAGCTCAGCAGTTAAGAGTACTTGTTATTCTTGCAGAGGACCCGTTTCCGTCCCCAGCATGCATATGCTGTTCCTAACTGGCTGCAACTCAAGGTCCAAGCGACCCAGCGTTCTCTGGGCTCCTTGGGCACCAGGCATGCCTGTGGTGCAACAGTGTGCATTCATGAGATAAAATGCCTGAATACTCAAAGCCCTCTCACCTAACAGACAGTTTTTCAGTTCCTGGGCTTCTGTGCCTTTAACAGTAGCCATCCCTGAGGCAAATCCGGTGGGAACCTGTAAATAGGAGCTGATGCTGTATATGGCAGGGGCTGCTCACTGGCTTGACCCTCATGGCTTGCTCAGCTGCTTGTGGAACCCACCACCCCAGGGATGCACCACCCACAGTGGGCTGGGCCCTCCATCAATCAATAAGAAAATGCCTTACAGCCAGGTGGTGGTAGTGCGTGCCTTTAATTCCAGCAGAGGGAGGGAGAGCTCTGTGAATTCAAGGTCAGCCTGGTCTACACAGGGAGTTCCGGGACAGGCGGGGCTGTCACACATAGAAAGCTTGTGTTGAAAAACAAAACAAAACAAAAAAAGGAAATGAAATGAAAAGAAAATGCCTTATGGAGGCATAACTGAGTTTTCTCATTTCAGATGACTCTAGCTTGTGTCAATTTGACATAAAACTAGTCAGGACACTATTATAGCTATGTAATACCATCTGTAAAAAGAAATGTTTTGATTTTCTTTCTTGTATCCATTTTGTATCCCTTTTGTTTGAGAAGGCTCTGGTACTGTATTGAATAAGAGGAGATAGCTGAGCTGGGTACTGTGACTCACACCACTAATCCCATCATTAATCCAAGCACTCGGAGGCAGAGTCTCTGAGTTGGAGGTCAGCCAGGGCTACACAGAGAAACCATGTTGAAAGACTAGAGATAGTGGGCCCCCTGTCTTGTTCCTCATACTAGTGTATATGGGTGTTTTACTTGCATGTTTGTCTGTGAACCATGTGCATGCCTGGTGCCTGAGGAAGCCAGAAGAGGGTGTCAGGTCTTCTGTAACTGGAGTTAAAGATGGTTGTAATTGGCTGTGTGAGTGCTGGGAACCATACCTGGGTTTCTGCAAGAGCAGTAAAGTGCTCTTAACTGCTGCGCTATCCCCAACGCCTGGAAATGCTTTTGAGTCTCTCCCACTTAATGTTAATCGTAAGTGGATAACATTTATCCTTTACTATGTTGAGATTTGTTCCTTCACGAGTTTTAACATGAGGGATGGTGGATTTTGTCAAAAAGCTTTTTCTTGGCATCTATCAAGATAACCATGTAACTTCTGTTCAGGAGTCCGTTTATGTAACTTATAACACTTAGTGATTTGCATATATTGAACCATCCCTGCATGTTTGGAAGAAAGCCAATTGATCATGGTGGATTATCTTTTTGATGTGCTCCTGAATTCAGCTTGCTTTTTTTTAAAGACATCCTATCTCTATGTCGCTGTGGCTCTACAGAAACTCTATGTAGACCAGGTTGGCCTTGAAATCTTTTTTGTTTTTGTTTTTTTTTTTTTTTTAACAGGATCTCATTTATGTAGCCCAGGCTGGCTGGAACTCGCTATATAGACCAAGCTGAACTTGAATTCACAAAGACCTGCCTACCTCTGTCTCCCAAATGCTGAGATTAGAGGCGTGTACCACCACAGCTGGCCTTCTTTTTTTTTTTTTTCCCCATTTATTTATTTATTTATCTATCTATCTATTTATTTATTTGTTTGTTTTGAGGTATTGTCCCTCTTCTAGCCCAAGCTGTCCTCAAACCCATGACAATCCTACTGCCTCAGCTTCTTTAATGTTGGGATTACAAGCATAAGCCACCATGCCAAGATTCCACAATTTTCTTTCCAGATGAAATTGTGGCTCTGAAGCGGTTAAAGATGGAGAAGGAGAAGGAAGGCTTCCCAATCACCTCCCTGAGGGAGATCAACACCATCCTCAAGGCCCAGCACCCCAATATCGTCACTGTCAGAGTAAGGCTCAGCCTCCACATTGGCATGTCCTGCCTGTGAAGGGACGAGGGAAAAGGTTGCTTGCTATCCTAGGGTCAGGTGTTAGCACTTTCAGAGACCTCAGCTTCCCAAGATACCTTAGTTAGTAGTTGTTTACTGCCCACAGCGAGTGTGTCTTCAGTGTAGTTTCCGAAGAGCCAGTGTTTGTCAGGGGATGCTGAGGTGGACTGTTCATTCCTAGGAGATTGTGGTGGGAAGCAACATGGACAAGATCTACATTGTGATGAACTATGTCGAACATGACCTCAAGAGCCTAATGGAGACCATGAAGCAGCCCTTCCTGCCAGGTATGCCTGCGTGCCACCCTGGGTGGGCTGTCCAGTCAGGAGATAAGGGCAGCACCCTGCTCTCTGGCATGTTGTAAGGTATTGTGCCCTTCTAGTGACCCTGTCTTTCTGAGTGGTGGGTGACCATAGGGAGTTCAGACCCACCTGGGCTGAGGTTCCTAGAATAAACTTGCCCTGGAAGTGTAGTTGCTGTGGGTTATACATATCACCCTGGGTCCCTGGGCCCTTTTGCAGGGGTGTTGGGAACTCCTGGGGCAAGGGGAGCATGTGTGTGATCTCGTTTCTCTCACAGGGGAGGTGAAGACCCTGATGATTCAGCTGCTGAGTGGAGTAAAGCACCTCCATGACAACTGGATCCTACACAGAGACCTTAAGACCTCTAACCTCCTGCTAAGCCATGCTGGCATTCTCAAGGTGAGCCCTGTGCCTTCCCACCATGTCCCTAGGAAACCAGCCCAGAGCCTGGTCTTACAGCCACCCTGTCCTTGTTACAGGTGGGTGACTTCGGGCTGGCTCGGGAGTATGGTTCACCCCTAAAGGCCTACACCCCTGTTGTGGTGACCCTGTGGTATCGGGCCCCAGAGCTGCTGCTTGGTGCTAAGGTGAGTCTGAAAACCTTCCTCGCCCATAGTAGCTCATTCACAGCTGTGGCCGACACGGACGCAGCCTGCTGCCATCTGAGCCCTTTCCTCTGGACTCTAGGAGTACTCCACAGCTGTGGACATGTGGTCAGTGGGCTGCATCTTTGGAGAACTGCTGACACAGAAACCTCTGTTCCCCGGGAAGTCAGAGATTGATCAGATCAACAAGGTTTTCAAGGTGAATATTGGACTGGCCTATTTTGGGAACGGTTTGCAGTGTGTATGCAAAACTAGAGCCAGGACTGGAGATCCAGGCCACATTGTGGTCTTTTAGTGGCCTCTCTGAAAGTGACACACCGATAGGCTTTATGGAGGATATGTCTAGTTCAGACATCCTGTTTTTCAGGACCTTGGGACACCCAGTGAGAAAATCTGGCCTGGCTATAATGACCTCCCAGCAGTAAAGAAGATGACCTTCAGCGAGTACCCCTATAACAATCTTCGCAAGCGATTTGGGGCTTTGTTGTCAGACCAGGGCTTTGATCTCATGAACAAGTAAGTCTGAGGGTAGCACTGCCTGCAGCCACTGGGCTCCAGGTTGACTCTCTTGCAGAACTGTCCTGGAGCCTGGAAGGCCCAGAATACCAGGTTTTAGGGGACACTGAGGCCCATTGGTCTCACTTTCCATCTCAGTGTAGCCCCACATGTGTCCACCAAGAAAGCAAAAGGGTTCCTCAGTTTGTGAAGGCCATGTATGCCCTGATCCACAGAGCAGGTAGCCACTGTCTGCTACCGTTCTCTCTAGGTTCCTGACGTACTACCCTGGGCGGAGGATCAATGCAGAAGACGGCCTCAAGCACGAATATTTCCGAGAGACCCCCCTCCCTATCGACCCCTCCATGTTTCCCACATGGCCAGCCAAGAGCGAACAGCAGAGGGTGAAGCGGGGCACGAGTCCGAGGCCCCCTGAGGGTGGCCTGGGCTACAGCCAGCTGGTGAGGGCTGATGCCAGTCGGGGTTGCCATGGGGGAGGCTGGTTGGGGACAGCGTCCTTATGGTGGTCACCTTACTTCCCAGGGTGATGATGACCTGAAGGACACCGGCTTCCACCTCACCACCACCAACCAGGGAGCCTCAGCTGCTGGCCCCGGCTTCAGCCTCAAGTTCTGAGCTCGGACTGACTTACTGACCAGCCAGGCGGTGACAGACAGACCCACTGAGCCAGGACAGCTTGTTTCCTTGTTATTTTTTTCCATGTTGTTTAGTTTGGGGCAGGTTGTAAATTTGTAGAATTAAATCACATTTTTCTTCTGGAAGGAGATGGGTGTCTAACTTGCCTGGTGAGAGAGGGCGGCTGTCTACAGGTGCGGAGTAGATGCCAACCCTTCCCACAGTTGGATCTGGTCTGGAGCATGGTTGTTTGCTTTTCACTGGGCTGTCTCAGCTGACACCATCCTACACAGACCAAGTGTGTGGGAACTTGAGCACAGTGGGTTTTTATACGTGAGGTTCATGTAAGTCTTAAGTAGTAAGCTGCTCTTGGAGGAAGCTCTGCTATGTCCTTTTTCCAGCACAGTGCTCCCAGCTGGTCCGGTAGGTGCCTGGGATAGGGGACTGCGAGCTGCGCAGACCTGAGTGAACAGACTGATTGATACAACCAGGCTGGATGCAGTCTTGCTCTTCCATCACACATGCCATCGCCTTCCCTGCTGTCTAGCTCTTCACTCCCCTCACCCTGATCCCCCTCCAATCTGGCTGAGGAAGTTAGTTACTGGGCCTCTACCTTTGCCTGAGCTGGTTCTTGGCCTCCATTCCCTGTTCACACTGACATCTCGCCTGGGGCCGGCTCATCCACATCCTCTCCACACACTCCAGCTGATGCTAACACCCCGGCTTTATTTTACCCCGCTGCGGCAACGCCCTTGCGCAGTGGACTATGTTTTCACCACAAAGGGCTTTGCGGAAATACGGACCCCAGGGCCCCCAACCTCAGATGGACAGCGACTGGCCTTCCCTCTTCCCATGAATCAGCACAGAGACACTGGAGAGAAAGTGTTTTATCTGCTGGCTCCAGCAGAGGCTGTGCGCAGGCTCAGCTCCTCACTCGGACACGCCAGGAATAGGTGGTAAGGACGCGCCGGCGCTGGCGTACCACACACGTGTAGATGCCCTCGTTGACTGCGTTAGCGATGATGCTTAGCTGTGCCTCACCCAGGGCCAGGTAGCCCGGGTAGGAGAACTCCAGGGGCTCCTGGTCCTTGTACCAGCTGCAGGAGGGAGGTTTCTGCATGCCTGCCCTCCTGTGCCCAGGGCGCCAAGATAAGCCCACCAGGGTATCCCAGGGAGCCCCAGGCTGGCTACTCACTATACTTTGCCTTTCTTGCTTAGGATCTTCTGCCCGCAGCGGAAGGTCATGTTCCTACCCTCTCTCACAAACCTTGTTTTCATTCTGGTGGGTGATGTGGTGGCAGCCACAGTGGGAAATGGGAATTCTAGTGAGAGAATGGCGAAACACCTTGTCAGTGCTCACCTCCATCAAACCAGGCCCAAGATGGAGAGAAGGCCGAGCTCAAGAGACCCCCCACTCAACCCCATCTGAACCTCAGTCACCATAACAGAAGTCACAGCTTCTGGGGCACAGCCTCTTCATGAGCCTCTGGTGGGCATCACAGAATCCTTTTCGTGCCCAGGGTGCACACAAAAAAAGCCGGTCCAGGCAGCCTAACAGGAAGGCAATATGGCTCGGCGCTTGCCCAGAGTCCTGTCCTGCCCACCCCCCAACCCCCCGGCCCCATTACACCCACCATAGAGTCGGTACAATCCCCACAGCTCGTCCTGCGACAGCGCCTTCCAGCCTCGCAGTGTGGCATTGAGGTGCATGAGCGCCCGAGCCTGCTGTGAGTGCATTAGGCCCAGGGCATGGCCAATCTCGTGGGCTGCCACGTGCACCAGGTCTGTGAGCCAAACGCCTGTGGGCCCGGTGGCTTAGTGCTCGGGAGCCCGCAGCCCTTCCTCTCCCAGCCTTGCTCCAGGAGACCCAGCACTGAAGCTGACTCAGGAGCCCAGCTGCAAGCCACCCTTACCCTTAGCTTACAGCCAAGGAAGATAAGCATGTTCCCGGCCTAGGCTGTGAGCTTGGCCTTCAGGAATGCAACTCCCTCTCCAGTGGCATGTGGAGGGGGGCTGGGGAGGACGACTCGGGCCTGTGAGACTCAGAGCTGCTCTTCCTTGATTGCTTGACCCCGATAGCCGCCCAAATACTCAGCCCCAGGAAATCCTTCCTGCCTCAAAGCCTTTCCCCCGTAGCCCCTGCAGTGGAGAGAAAGTCGCCCCCAACAAACAGGAGGCCAAACCAAGGAGTTAGGTCACCTTTCTCCCAGCTGTAGCGGGTGGGGCCCAGGACCCAGTGCTCGCTGTCGTCGAAGTGAATGCCGCCGTGGGGAGGGAAAAAAGCGTGCGCCAGCTCCCCCGTGGGCCCGTCGAAGCAGTGGTGCAGAGCGGAGGCCAGGCAGTCGGTGTGGTTGACGGGGTAGAAACCTAGGGAGACGCAAGGCTGCAGCGGCACCCGTGGGGCGGGCCGGGGCCGGGGCGCCCGTCACCCACCTATCTGGAGGTCGCTGGGACGCTCTGGGGCCACCTCGCGGAAGCTGAACGGGGAAACATCACTCCACATGCGGAAGGCCGCGGCCAGGCCCTGCCGCGTCTCTTCGGGGCTTAAGAGGTTCCGAGGAAAGGAGAGAATCCTGGGGAGCGGGCGGTGCCTGAGTTGCAGCCTGACCCACCCGGCCGCCCGCCCCCCGACCGGCAGCACCTGTACGTGAGGTTGAAGTGGTCCCAGCGCAGCCTGCCGGGGGTCAGCGTGTAGCGCCGTCTTCGGGCTTTCAGCGTGGCCGAGGGGCTGGGGGCCTGCGCCGTGGAGTTTGGTGCGTCCAGGTTTCCCTGGCAGGAAGAGGGCGGATGTGAGGAGGCAGGAGGAACAGCCCAGACCCAGCGTTGCTGACAGCGGACTGTTAGGGAATGGAGCGGATGGGGGCTATGGGTGACCCCTCCATAGTTTGTTGAGTTTTTCACTTTTCTACCCTGAAGGAGTTGCTTTCACCCAGGCGCGGTGAGTTAAGAGCAGGTGGGAGCTGGGCCAGTCGTGGTGGGCTGGCTCACGCCTTTAATGCCTGGAGGCAGGGCCAGGTGGTCTACACAGAGGAACCTTGTCTCGAAAACCCGAAGACTAAGACTGAAAACCGCCGGTGGGAGTGGGCAGCGCTGGCCGCTGCCTCCACCTCCAGCGACCACTGCTCCTCCGGGCGTGCGGCGCCCACAGGCCCCTCGGCAGGGCCGCTGGTCGCCCTCGGTGCTGCCCCGCCCCTCGCACCTGGCCCTCCAGGCGGCTCAGCCCAGCCGCGGCGGCGCAGACCGTCTCTGCCGGAGCCCCCAGCCACTCCAGCAGCACCAGCGCCGAGAGAAGGCACGCGCCGCCCAGGGCCGCCCCCAGCCGGAGGCCCTGCGCAGCGCCGGGCGCCTCCGGGCGGACGCCGGCGCGGCAGCCCATGGCAGAGTGGCGGTCGGTTCAGAGCCACAAGGGGCAGCGACGACGCAGGGACCTGGACCGCAGGGCCGGGGCGGAGTGGGAAGGGGGCCGGCGGCGGGCGGCTCAAGTTACAGCCCTATAGCGCGGGGGAGGACCCGGCGGCGCGGGCCCGTCCGGCATCCCCTAGTGGGCTCGCAGGCGTGGGCTGGTAGGGTCGCGTCTATCAGAGTTTGAGAAACGGCTGGTAAAGCGAGGCTCGGATTTGGGGAAGGGGCCCGCTTGACTGGGGCTGAATGACCTTCGGCTTTTCCCCTCAACCCCCTGGACCTACAATGAAATCCGAGGGACGCCTCGGTTCTGCCCCCCACCCCCGCTGAGTGTAACCAGCGTACCCGCCAGCAGGGAACGCAGAGCGAGGGGACGTGGCAATGAGAAGGGGGGGAGGTTTGAGCGGGCAAAGCGGAGAGACTGCAGTAGGAAAGGGGCCTCAGGAAAGACGGGGAGGAGGCCTGTGAGAGTCCTTACAGCACCTGGGAAAGCGTCTGCTTTGGCCAGAGGATGCTCTCCTTGGACCAGAGCGGAGGGTGTGGGGAGGGTGCCAACACCTGGCATTCCCGCTCAGAGAGGGGGTAATAGGAACCCAGTGTGGTGTTCTGGCACAGTTCTGCCTGGGGTCAAGCCCGAAGGCTAGCCCGGACGGCTGGTGGCACCATGGCACCCGGGGTGGAGCAGGGCGGGCAGGGTGAAAGCGGTGGCTGAGGGCTTTACCGGAACGCCTCCCTCCCAGTCTTCCGTGTTGGCTTTGCACCCTAGGTGACAGCTGTACTGGCCCCCAGGGTCAGCGCCGAGCAGCTGTTGTCCCGGAATAGCTGCAGTGGAAGTTCTTGAAAAGCGTCAACCATCTGGCCCCTCCCTTCGTTACAAGTTACAACCTATTGTCCCTGCAAGCGGACCCTCTCTTGCTTCCCCCTGCCCAGCTCAACTGCCAGGAGCTTGGCGCCCCCCACCCCACCCCGCGTCAGGACCCTCTGAAAGGTAAATCTCCACACTAGGCTTGCTTTGGCCAAAACCCGCAGAGTCCAAGTCGCACCCCAGCGGGGCGGAGTGAGGGGCGGGCACAGGGTAAGAGCCAAGTGTGCGGTGCGCCCCTATAAGGCCGAAGCCTGTCGGGACAGTGTGACTTGCGGGGGCCCTCTTGTGTGAGAACACAACCAGAGGACTTGAGGCGGCCAGTATCCACGACCACAGCGTGTTCCTGACCCACAGGCATGGATTACCGCGGGGCAAAGGGAGCCTGGAGACGTGCATGGGGGACGGGGCGCGCCGTTAGGCCTGCGGCCCGCCAAGCACCCCCGGCAAGGAACAGGCAGCAGAGTCCGAGAATCTTTTTTATAAAATACAGGAATGCGGAGGGAGGGCCTGGGGTCAGCCGCGGTGTGCCGAGCACGCTCACACGAAGATCTGAATGCGGTCGCGGATGGGCTGGCGGCAGATGGGGCAGGCGCTAAGAGCGGCGCCGCAGGGCGCGCACGCGCCGTGGCCGCACTGGAACACCAGGCGGATGTGGCTGTCGATGCAGATGGGGCAAGTGATGCGCTCCTCCATCTGCCGGTAGCGGCTCTGCAGCTCTTCCACCAGCTGCCGGGGCGGGCCGGGCACCTGGATGGCGTTCGCCACCTCAGAGCCGTCTGTGGGACAAGGTGAGCCGAGAGTCAGCAGCAGCCGGTGTGAAGATTAGGTGCAGGCTGGTGAGCATGGCCCCGGACAAGGAGGGGATGTACCAGGCCCCTCCCACCCACCTGGGCGCAGCTTCTTGCTGATGGCCATCTGGCACCGGATACACTTCTTCATCCTGCGAGCGCACTCTGCCAGGGGCAGCACACGGTCAGTCAGTCACGGGCTGGATGAGGCAGCTAGGCCACCCCGGGGCCTCCACACCCCGCACTCACCCTCACACACGGTGCGGTGCTGGCACGGTGAGAACAGAACCAGCAGTGCCAGCTCGGAGCACACCAAGCACTCAGCAGCTTCCGGCCCTGCTGTGCCTGACACATGCAGGTTCGTCACGGTGTTGGGAGTGCTCAGCACTTGCCGGGGGCCCGGGGGCACACCCCCACTGCTACTTGCCTGTCGCTCCCTGCAGTTGGAGAAGTGGGCTTGAAAGGACCTGGTGGCCTTAACTGTGGGCCCCCTACCCACACCCCCGTTGTGGGCTCACCGGAAGCGCTGGGCACAGCCCTGCAAGGCCTTGAGCACTCGGCCTTCAGTGGCCAGGTCCAGTGGGCTCCGGCCGCGGTGGTTTGCGTAGCTCACGTCCGCACCCTCCAGCGCCAGGAAACACGCCACAGCAGCGCCTACAGTCAGCTCTGTGCTGCCCGGGAGGCCTGAGGCCTGTAGCTGAGCGGCGGGACAAAGAGATTAAGGGTGGAAACCCACACAGTCTTGAGGGAAGCCAGAAGTTGGAAACAATGATGAACTTTCTGGGCTAAGCTTCTGGTTCTACCAAGAGAGGAGAGGGCAGGCACTCTTTGCTAGGCAGGTGCAAAAGCCCCGAGACCCTTCGTCCTTTCATCCCAGCTGGGCCTCAGGTCTGGATTACTGGGGATGGCTCCTGAAACTCAGTCCTCCCAACTGCCCACTCTCCAGCAACCCTGGCTCCCTGGAGCATGACGGGAAGTGAGAAGTGAGTGACCCAGGCCCCCCTTCCAGCACGCACACAACACTTCCTCACCCTTGACAGCAGCTGCAAGGGCCCCGGGTCCCCCCCAGCCCTGCCTGCCACCAGGGGCAACAGCTGATGGCGCTGCAGTGCCACATGGAGGGCTGTGTCCCCCTCCTCGTCCTCAGCGTCCACGCTGCAGCCCGCATCCACGAGCAGTGGCACCAGCCCCAGGTGGGCCTGCTGCACAGCCAGATGCAGTGCAGACTGGAGCTTCCGGTTGCGCACATTCACGTCGCAGCGACCCTGGGGAAAGGGAGGGCGTGGGCTCAGCTCTGTGCTCCCTCGGGGTCTGGCTCCCGGCCTGCGGGTGGCCCTGGGCTCCTTATGCCCACACTCACCTCTCGGATTAGGACCTGGGCCACCTCACGGTGGTTGTTGAGGGCTGCCAGATGCAGGGCAGTAAAGCCATCCTCCTTCTTGGCATCCACCAGCTGCCGTGCCCGTGCCAGAATCTTTCTGACTGCTCTGTGGGAACAAGAGTCTGTCCACACTCTCCCCTAAGCACTTCACCCGAGTGGTCTGGATCAGGGTAGCCTGGCGATAGGTCAGAAGACTGGATGACAGCAGTGTGCCCAAGCCCACACTCACAGCACGTGGCCCTTGAGGGATGCATGGTGTAGCAGTGTGAAGCCCTGGCTATTGGTAGCAGTGACATCGATTCCAGGCACCTCAGTGAGGACCTCAACAATGCTGCTGGCGCCGGCACCCGCAGAGATGGCAGAGTGCAGTGGTGTGTCGGCATGTGCGTCCTGCAACAGAAGGGCTGGTCACAGCAGCGCCTTCTCCCACCATCAAGGTCCTCCCTTGACTAGGGCTGGCTAGTGCCAGAGCATCCAAGGACTCACCGGCAGGTTGACATCACAACCACGCTCACACAGGGTCTTTACCACCTCTAGGAAGCCCCTCTGCACAGCCACATGGAGGGCTGTGTGCCGTGTGCCATTCTGAGCATCCACCGCACATCCTGCACTCAGGAGCGCCCTGGCGGCCTCAGGCTGGTTCCTAAGGGAAGAAGCGGGAGGGTTTGGGGACAGCCCGTTTCATACACCGTCACCCCAAACAGGACCCGCCAGCCTGCCCAGGCCTCACCCCAGAGCTGTGTAGTGCAGCGCAGTGTTGCCTTCATCATCTGGCAGGTCCACATTTGCCCTCGCCTGCAGAAGCAGCCGCACCAGCTCTACCTGGCCCAAGTAAGCAGCGACCTGCAGGGCAGTTCTACCCTGGTTCTTGGTGTCCACCTGTGAAGAGAGCCACCACTTAGTTCTGGGCACACTCCCCCGACGGCTTTCGGAAGGGCTGGGCAGCAGCTTGCCTGCTCTGGGCGCCTTCGAAGTAGATCCAGAGCACGGGCTCCATTGCCCAGTGCAGCCTCTACTACCAGCCTTCCTGGGTGCGCTGGGTCACTCTTCTGGGTCCGAAGCTTGTCCAGGGCCGCACTCAGTGCGCCTGGGGGCAGGGTGGAGGTAAGTGCTGGCCAGGGCCTCCCCTGGCCCCCACCAGCCACTGAGACTGCTGCTGTACTTTTGTTCTCTCTGGCACGCTCAGCCACATCCAGGTTGGCGCCCTCCTCAGGCCGGTAGGGCAGCAGGCAGGAGGGGCTGAAGGTCCATCGCTGACCACCAACTGCCACACGCAAGTTTCCATCTCCAAACACCTTCACCACTTTCCCCACTCGGCCCAGGGCCTGAGAAGAGGTGGGACCGCAACAGGTTGGAGATGGAGCAGACAGCACCGGGGGGCAGGGAATGTGATGATGACAGACACTGGGACTCACAGGGGCCATGTCATCGGTCCATTCACCATGTCCAGCTTGCAGTCGCTTCACAGTGTCAAGGTCACCGATGACCCGGACCACATCACCCACCCAGAAGCTGTTGTGCTAGATGACAGAGAAGCTGGTAAGCAGAGTTTCTCCAGCTAGCCGTGTCTACTCAGGGTCATGGAAGAGGGCACATCCTGCTCCATGGGGCAAGAAGAGTTAACCTTGGCCCCAGTTCCTGCCTCAGGTACAAGCAGATGGTCTGGTCAAGGGCCTCTGCTGACCAAAACAGCCCTGGGTGGCCAGCCTGAGCCACAGGGAACAGAGATGCAGAGGGTGGCCACGTCCAGACCAAAGGCTAGCCTAGGATGTGTGAAGGCCAAGAAGGCTGTTTCCAGTGCACCCATCCGCTGACCACACAGGCAGCACGGAAAATGTGGTAGAGAAGCAGGAAGTTGAGGATGGAGCTGGGTGGGAGCCTGATGTCGGTGTAGGGCCAGCTGGGGAGTGGGGTTCCTGTCTACACTTGTGTACGGAGTGAACCTGTTCCA